AATCAGGGACCAAGTGTTCAAGTCCATGAGCCTACGGGGGCCACTTTTTACTCAAGTACCACGGAGGGGAATGGCATACTGAAAGGTAGCAGGTTGGCAAGGACATGGAGAATGTGGTGGCCACAATCCATCTTATTTTCAGTATCATGAGGAGTCACTGCAGGATTTAAACTTGGGAAGGAAGGGATTTGGTTTTGCTTCAGGGAAGAAAACTGCCTTACCTAGTCTGTGAAGAGTAAGTGGATGCAGGAAGACTGGGAAGTTCTTACGGTAGATAAGTTGAGAGATTATAAAAACCTTGGGGAGAAAACACAGTTTCTTCTAGAAACAGCTGGAGCCTGACTCAGCTGTTCTTTAGTAATCTTTGGTACAGTTTGGGCCTAGGATATAATCTTCTGGGGCCGTGTCTGACTCTGCACATTTAATTGTGTGTGATAATCCTAGCTTTGGACCTCCGAGCATATATTCCATCTGTAATATCTTATTGCTCTCAGCATACTAACTATTACTCATGAATGATATCTGAACTTTCAAAAACTTATTTAAAAATTATTAGTTTATTTTAAAAAGTAGCCTACAAAATAACATGTTTCCTGATGGCATTTTCATACATGTATCATTTTGAAAATTCATTTTTTAATGAGCGTGTACAAAAGTCACCAAGATTGGTTTATCTGTCCAATAAACTCTCATTTGTATCCAGGCTTATGGATATTATTGCTAGAACTGTTGTTCCCCTTATTTTTATGTTTCACATTTTCTTATTTATTTATTTGGGTGTACACTGCAGTCAGAGAGCAGCTGGTGGAAGCTGGTCCTCTCCTTCCACCGTATGGGTTCTGGGGATTAAACTCAAGTTACCAGGCCTGGCAGCAAGTGCCCTTAGCCTCGGAGCCATTTTGCCAACTCTACTTTCCCTTTTTGAAGTAGGGGTTTCATTCCTACTTAGCCTAGAACTCACCAAATAGACTAAGATGGCCTAGAACTTGAAGCAATTCTCCTGCCTCTGTTTCTAAGTACTAAGATTACAGGTATACATTACCATGCCTAGCCCCAGCTGTGAATATTCATTTATATTTATCTTTTTGAAACAGTCTCATTTGTAGGCCAGATTGGCCTTGAATTTGCCATAAAGCCAAGGATGTCTTGCACTTCTGAGATTGCCACCACACCCTGTCTGTTGGTCTGTTTTTGTCTCTTTGGTGTTCTACTTTCCCTGCTATATTCTAAGGTACTGGATGCAGAGACAACTCTGTCTTGCATATTCATTTCATACCTTGTACTTGGAATTAGACTAATTTTTTGTTACATAAATAATTCATATTTAATTATATACTTGTTAAATATATTTGAGTTATTTAATTTTTAAGTTTTATCTAAAACAATCTATTGTAGATTATATACATAATTTCCTTATCCAAACAACACATAATAAGTTGTTTTAAATAATAATCTTTGTTGTTTTAAAAAGCAAATTTAAAAACTGCCCTTAAGAGTTCTTTTCCGAGAGGAGATTGCAAGTTCAAAGCCATTGTGGGCTACATACCAGATGTGAGACCAGTCTGGGTTACGTGGTGAATACTGGTCTCAAAATAGCAAAACAACAACAAAACAACTCCTCAAACTCCCTTGCTTTAAGCTATGAGCATCTATCATCTATCTGTCTGTCTATCTATCTATCTATCTATCTATCATCTATCTATCCATCCATCCATCCATCCATCCATCCGTCACCTACCTATCCACTCATCCATTCATTGTCTAACATATGTCTGTGTGGTATATGTGTACATGTGTGTATATGTATGTTCACTTGAGTATATATGTGTGGAGAAGCTGATGTCAGGTGTCTTCCTCTATTACATTCTCTCTTATTTTTTTAAAGAATTTGTTTATTTATATGTGTGAATGTATTGTACATGTGTACACACATGGAGGACCAACAAAAATATTTGTTTTCTTCTTTGTCATCATCTGTCCTTTGAGAGAAGCTCTAGTGGTCCTCTTGTCTCTGTTCTTCTTGGAGCTGGGTTTGTAGGTGTGAATGGGATACCATGTTTTTACACGGGTGCTGAGGATCCAAACTTTGGTCTTCTTGCATGTCTAGTAAACATTTTATTGACTGAGCCATCTTCTCAGTCCCTATTTGAGTTATAAACCTTCATTTGTCCTTGTTGTTCATAAATACCAAAAGGATGCTGCCCTTTGTTAGAAATGACGTGGACTCCCTTTCTAGGGCAGTAAGTATTAAGGGTGGAGGGAACAGCCTGAGCTGCCAGGTCACCTGGACAGGTCCAACACCAGGTCAGGATAAGGTACAGGAGATTAGGGTTTGCCCTCCATCATCCAAGGCTCCTTGTACACTACTGATTTGCAAGCTAGTGCGCAGACTTCACAAGTGAGCATATGATTTCTCATCCAGACCAAGTGAACCACCCTGATGGGAAGCCATCACTAGGGCTTGAACCCAGGGTCTTTGACCCTTGAACTAGGGCTTGACCTTGATAGCCAAATGCTGTACTGCTGGACTCCATACCTGTCCTGTAATGTGACTCTCAACCTGAAGTGGAAACCCTTTACAGGCCTCTCTCTCAAACCAGCTACTGGCTGCATGTTTTACTGTATAACAGTGGATTCCCTAGATTCTAGGCACAGAGTTCTGTAAGTCTGAAGTGCTGTAGACTCTGTCTTACATAAGAAAGAGATCATGTCATTTTTAAAAAGTCTTTTTATGACACTGAGGCTTGAACCTGGGACCCTGTGCACGTTAAGGGTGTGCTCTATCTCTGACCAAACCCCAGTCCTCCAAGTCTGTTTTACTTCAGTTGCTTGTGGCTTTTCCTTTCACAGTGCTCATACACGGGGTTGTTGAGGTTGAACAACTCAGAGGAATATGTTCAGCACAGCCTGGAGCTGTTCACTGTGTGCTTGGTAAGCACTTGCTGTATTCTAAGGCACCTGGCCTGTGCTGTCCAACTACAGGGTGGCTCTCTGCATCTTTCCCTCCATGGATAACAGATTGCCTTCTGGCTCTTCTCATCAGTTCTTCACATACATCAGTCATCCACACTCTACATGTGTTTTAAATATATTTTTATAGTCTCAGAAAATTCCACTGGTGACATTACACTGTCTTCACTCCCTTACTGCTCTTTTTTGTCCCATTCATTTGATTCTACAGTCTACTGTCATCAGGAGACACCACAGATTTATAAAACACCTTTCTGAGCTTTCACAGGCTCCTACCTAAGGTCTGCTTTTGTGTGCAGGCTCCATCTTTTCACCTCCTCGGAGGTGGTTTGATCTGTTCCCAGTGACTTCCCAATCGAAATTGTCCTAATTGTTTTCCACCAAGCCAGAATTTACAATTGGTAATATTTCTTCTTTTTTACACTCAGTTTCTTTTGCCGTGTGTGAGGTCATGGGATCACCAGGACTGTTCAGAGAATAGCCCCCTGACCCCAGAAAGTTCCCTTGAACCTCTTGGCAACAGACAGTCTGTTTCCAGTCTTTGTAGCTTTGCCTTTCCAGAATGTAATTATACATTATGTTTAAGTTTGGCTTCTTTTGCTTAGCATATAACATTTGGTTCTTATACAAGTAGATGGTGATACTTGTGTTCTTTTTTATTGTAGTATTCTATTGTGTGGACCTACTGTGGTGGTAGTGGTAGTATGTGTGTGTAGGGTTTTATTTTATTTTATTTTTTTACTTATGCTTCAGGCTGGTACTTTAAAACATATTTACATTTACTTATTTTATGTGTGTTTGTGAGTATGCATGCCGTGTACATATGTGGAGATCCTAGGATAACTGATCGGTTATCTTCATGTTTACAGTTTGAGAGGAGGACCTGAGATCTGTTGTTTAGGAGCATCATAAATTCTAGGACAGATGTAGTAGGCCTTCTGTAGTGGATCCAAGTCTTCAGGATATATCCTTGATAATTGGAACTCTCTAGCATCTTGTTTCATTCCCATTAACAACCCAGTTCTCCATGTATCACTGGTTGTAGATATAAAACCTGAGATATAAAATTGCTAGCATTTCTTTTCTGGATGTGTGTCTGTATCTATATACAAGTGCAACCATGTCACTGAAGATGGGACCCAGCTCCTCAAGCATGCTACACTAGTGCCTTGCCACTGAGCCACATCCCCAAACCCCAAGTGGAACACCTTTGTCACAGTCTAGAAAGAGAAAATATAACTAACATGAACAATACTACCCAACCACATGGTCCACACTGTGCTTGTAAGGTCAGCTACACCAGAGAGTCTACAGAGATCATTTTCATTGGCATTAATTTCCATTAATGACGGGGTTCTGGAAGCCCAGCTGTGATCAAGCATATTTCATTTCTTGATTCTGGCTATAACTAGAAACAATTTAAACTATTTAAAGTTGAATTTACTTCTTCTATTTAAAAAAATAAATTCTAAAAACTGGGGGAAAGTAAATTTTATGTCACCTGTTCTCTCTCAACTGTTCATTAACTCATTAACTAATTCAGTTTTGTGGAATTGGGGACTGTCTGGGGCTTTATACATGCTGGGAAATGTATCATTGAACTGCATGCATAGATGACCTCTTCTCTCTTCTTATCCTTATTATCTTGAGACGAAGTTGCCCAGGTTGGTCTTGAATTCTCTGTGTTGCCTAGACTGGACTTAAACTTGTCATCCTTCTGTCTCAGCCTCTCAAGTAGCCAGGATTACAGGCCTATACCACCAGATCAATTGTGTTTTAAATAAATATTTTAAAATATAATGAAAGTATAAGTCATCATCTTATTATATATTTGGTTTCAAACATTTTTCCAAGAAAGTCTTTATTTTAAGGGAAAATGATTTTTAAGAAACCCCATTGAGTACACTCAGATACGGAAGGTTTCGTTCATTTTGCTATTCACCACCCTTTAATTGAGGCAAGTTATGGCAGAAAATACATAGTTTGTAAAAGGCAAACAAGCTGACATTTCTTTCTTTCCTTTCATTCAGGTGTTTGCTTCAGAATGGTAAGTGAAATCTGTCTCTTATTTTCATACCTTTTTTTCTTTAGTATTGATTTTAATCATAGAACTGTTTTCTACCCAGTTCTAATCTATTTCTTGTATCCTGTCTTGACAACTGATATTTTCATGAAATTACTGATTGTAATTTCTTTCTTTTTTTTTTCTTTAAAGATTTTTCGAGACAGGGTTTCTCTGTGTAGTCCTGGCTGTCCTAGAACTCTGTAGACCAGGTTGGCCTCGAACTCAGAAATCCGCCTGCCTCTGTCTCCCTGATTGTGATGTCTATTAAAAGTGCCTTTAAAGTTTTATTACAGCCTTCCTTGGTTTTAGTTAGCATTTTCTATGAATTTCAAAAGTATTCTGGCAAGTGGTTCTAACTAGGCATTTGTCTAAGTATACTAGATAAAAATTATGGGTTCTCTCCTGTGTCCTAAAAAGAAAACCTCTTGGGCCAGGGGCACATCTCTCACTGTAAATTGAGGGGGTGCTGGTGTTGCACATTTTAGCAGTAACCCCCTCTATACACATTTTTAGTTTTATTTTAAAAACACCCCTTCCCTAAAAGTTAAATATAGGTTCTATTTTCTGAGCTTGGCATCACTATTTAGCCCTCTGGTTGCGAACTCTGAGAGTCCCACCATGTCCACATCAGTCAAGCCTCTCTATATTTCAGAATATTTCTATCTTAACAGTCCATTGTCCTGTCCCCATTTTCATTATTTTTTTGATTTTCAGACTGGCACCTGCATTAGTTTATGGTCAATTTATCATCATAATCCTCTGACTGTGTGCTAGCCCTTGGTGTTCTTAATGGTTTGATTTTATTATTAAAATTATTTCTATTTTTATTGAAACTTTTGAAATGATTCAGTGTCCATTTTTGCCTGTATGTATTTTATGTTGATCACAAACTGATATTTTAAAAAATGATTGAGCATTCTGGGTTCATCAGAGTTTGAAGCTGAGGTTATCAATGTATTTCCTTATTAATGGATGTGAGGGAAACACAATAGCATTTTATGGATCTGAGAATTGTAATAGAAACTATTTCTGAAACAATTCTCACTGTTGGTCTATTTTCTCTAATTGTACTGATCATACAAATAGTGGGGTCATTGTAGGTCAGTTATATACTGCATAGGATTATTTTATTTTATATATATTAGTCCTTTGCCTGCATGTGCATCTATGTACTAATGCATACTTAGTGCCCACAGAGGCCAAAAGAAGGCATTTGATCTCCTGGAATATGAATTATACTTGGTTATTAGCAACCATGTGGCTGCTAGGAATTGAACCCTAGTCCTCTGCAAGAGCAGCCAGTGTTTTTAACCACAGAGCCATCTCTGCAGTCCATAAACTACATTTTAGAAATTAAATAAATAAATAAATAAATATTGTAAGGTTGGCAGTTTCTGAATATAAGAGTTGTGTTATGAGTATAGACTTCTAGTGATGGACTTGACCTCTCTTGTTTTTTCCTGAAACCAGTACACAGAAGGAGAAGCTAAGAAAAGAGGTCTTGTTGGCTGGGTGAAGAACACAAAAAAAGGCACAGTGACAGGTCAAGTGCAAGGCCCTGAAGAAAAGGTCAATTCCATGTGAGTAGTAAGACTAACGTGTCTACATTTATGAAACTGTTTTCATATTTTGATTTTCACTGGTAGCAATACTGATGGCCAGGTTCAGTTCTCATGGATTATAAATAGGTTGGAGTATTTGTAGGCAGGCCACAGTTAAGGTGACGCTTCTTTGTTGGGAATAGACTTTTTCCTCTTGGGCAGGATTCAAGAAGAGCTGTTGTATTGCTAACCAATCTGTCCTCTCAAGTCTCCCCCAGTATGGGATCCATATCCAGGACCCACGTATTCATCATTTCAAATGTTAGGACTGAGCACAGTGCCTTTAGATGGTTCTTGAAGTTCTAATATAGTCTTCAAAGCAAAAAGATTGCCATCTCTCTACTATTGTGCAATATTTACCTGATTTCAGTTTCATTTTTACATAATAGAATTGTTTAACAAGTGCTACTGTTGCTGTAGTACAAGCCCTTGAGGTCTAAAGAAGAACAGACTTAGCAGTGGGGTGACAGTGG